TGTAAATGACTCATCTCTGCTCCAGGCAGTGTCACTTGAACTGTGTTCCTGGAGACCAGGAGAATCTACTTCAAGATGTCTTGCTTTCATAACTGGTTAGTTGGTTCTGGCTGTCAGCTGGAAGCTGGGGTTGATCTTCAGGACCTTGGGTTCCTTCCACTTCTGTGTGGGTTTTTCTCACAGCCTGGCGGCACTGTTCCAGAACAGCATCCCAAGAGCATGTGACGGCAGCTGAACTGCATTTTGCTACGTGACTTGGAAGTCACTTAACATTGCTTTCACTCTAGTAACCGTCTGTCCAGATCCAAGGGCCCTTGGTTCCACTGACCAATAGGATGAGTGCCAGAGTCATAGATGTACTAGTGCTAGGCTTTTAGAAAACGGTCTGCCATAAGAAGGTACCACAAAGGGAGAGGTGCATGGAGGTGGATTCTATGAACAGACCCTAAAACCCCAGTGCTCCGTCTTTCCTCTTGGCTTTAACTATTTTGTGAACACTTAGGTGATTCCTTAACTCATTTTGTGTATTCCCTTGGGTCTTCAAGATGGAATACACATAGACAAAATGTGTAATGTTTTATACTTAATGTCTTAAAAACCCAGGGAATGCATAATTTAAACTTCCTCTACTGCTTAAATCAATTATCTGAAATAATAATAGGTGTGGTAACAGCCTTTGCTATTTTAATATTGAGAATCTTAATGCTGGTAGTTTTCAATATAAAGATCCATTGAATAAGTTAGCAAAAGAGATAAAAATTCCTTGCATCACCCCATCTCTCTGTATAATTCAGAACTATGACAACACTTTCAGGATTGAAATTAAATACAGGAATCTGAGTGATGTGGCAATTGAGTGACATATCTAAAATTGCAGGGCAATGTATTGCAAATTAGTACATTTGAGAAGTTTCACTGATGGCAGTCTGTGTCTCATGACCTGCTTCGAAACTGTCACTGTGCATGAACTGATTATAATTTCTTGCTATGTATGTAATGAGAAGTTTCTACTTCATACCATGTTTTTCTACTTCAAATCTTGTATTTTTAAGAGAATTATCTTAAGAAAAATAAAAACCTGTGAATTTTAAGGTCAATGATGTCTAGATTATTAACAATGGTGCAGTGAATTTCATTTATATGCCTCAACATTGAAAGCTACCTGCTATTGTTACATTTTTTTTT